TCTGCGAATCCGCGCGCTCTTTAAATTTGCGCGCATTAATCGGACTCGGGATGTTTGTGCCTTGCCACTGGAACACTGATGATTTATGATCTTGCACCGAAATGGTGCCATTTATGAATAGATTAGTTCAATAATGTAATCAAATGTTGTTATTGTTATTATTTAACGAATAGGAGTAAGTCAATAGGTCTTTCAACTTCATCTGGCGTCATTGTTGATTATTACATGATCCTTGATGCTGATGTGGGGCACGAAATCTTATCAATTGACAATGGAATTTTGCTGGATCTATTTTAATATTGTCCAAGATAAAGCGAAAATAATATTTTCGTCTTAATTTTGTACACGATGACTAAAATAGTATTAATTGCAATTTTTTTAAAAATAATTAACTGCTAATTGGTACTAATCATCTCATTCCAAACGCGTGAAATCCCCATCGATCAATACCATTTTTTTTTGTCGTTACTGATGGTGTTGCGTTATACGCTGCAAAGTTCAACATTGGATCCGGTAACATTCGTGCCCGGCGATGGAAAGAATTTTCACGTGTTACAAAATTCTACACGTGTGAATAGTATGGGGAAATAGATATGTGATTAATTGCCGATTATTTGGCAATTACCCCAAAATCGCGTTCAGACACTAATGCACAATTAATTATAATGTTATTTTTAGCACCTTTGCTGATAACTCCTGGTTATCAAGCAGAATGTGTGACCGTTTCAGTGCGATTATATATAGGGGTAGTTGCCAACTTTGGAGACCGATGGTTATGCAATGGATGGTAGGCATCCCGTGCAGGGAAGTTTTGACAATACTTTGGAGAACTCTACTGACCTTAGACAGTTAAAAATTGTCAAGAAATAGAGGCCTTTTACACTTTTCCTTTCACAAAGTCAACCTGAGGTCAAATATGAGTAATTTCAAAAACATTTAGTTGGCCTCCGGCCCTTTCACTCCACTCCACTCCACAATACCGTCCTTCGCGTAGTTTTTAGACAACACCGTAGCATCGGGGGGTCTGGGTGCCAAGAATAATAGGAAAAGAATTATCGAGCCCTCCTTCCATACCCCACAGACCCCTCGGTACTACGTCTTCCCTCAAAAAAGTATCACGTGTGGGTTTTAAAGACTACACGCGATTTGGGTTAGAACGCCACCGGGGGGACTGTACCCCCCAGCTGAAGAAAACTCGATTATCTTCTGAAGACTGTCTGAAACATTCGACAACGAAGGAGAAGACTTGATTATTCTTTTCCTATTACTCTTAGCACTCTCCCTATAGTTTTCAGAAAAAAGGTAATCGAATCTTCGTATGCTGGGGGGTATTCCATACCACCGGTGCTACGTCTTTCCTCAAAAAAGTTTCACGTGAGTTTTAAGGAATAAACGATTTGCATGTGAACTTAGCACCGGGGGGTGTGGGGAGTATAGAATACCCCCCGCCTTTCTTCTGAAGACTCTATCACGTGGGTTTTAGAGACTACACGACTTGTGTAAAAACTTAGCACCGGGGGGGTCTGGGGTACTCCCCAACAAACGAAAACTAGATTACCTTCTGATGGCTACCAAAAAAACACTCGCCAGGGAAGGGTTAGACTCGAAAAAAGGTAATCGATTAAACGATTTGGATGAGAAATTAGCACCGCCGGAGGTGGGGGGGTATGCAATACTCCATAACCCCCCCCCCCGGTAAAAGAAAGTGCGATCGCTATTTTCTGAAGACTACCAGAAACAGTCGCCAACGAAGGATTATACTCAAAAAAAGGTAATCGATTAAACGATTTGGGTGAGAAATTAGCACCGCCGGGGGTATGCTATCCCCCCCCCCCCCCCGGGGCCAAAGAAAGTGCGATCGCTTTTTTCTGAAGACCACCAAAAACGCTCGCCAACGAAGGAAAAGAGCAGAAGACTTTAAAAAAAGTAATCGAGTAAACGATTTGGGTTTGGGGGTATGCAATACCCCCCCCCCCCCCCCCCCACATAACCGAAAATTCTATTACTTTCTTCTGAAGACTGTCCGAAACAGTCGCCAGCGAAGGAGAAGACTCGATTATTCTTTTCCCATTACTGTATAGGCATTCTCGCTGTAATTTTCAGAAAAAAAGGTAATCGAATCTTCGTATGCTGGGGGGTATTCCATACCCCCCAGGCTCCCCGGTGCTACGTTTTTCCTCAAAAAAGTTTCACGTGAGTTTTAAGGAATAAACGATTTGTATGAGAACTTACCACCGGGGGGTGTGGGGAGTATAGAATACTCCCAGCAGACGAAAACTCGAGTACCTTCTCCTGAAGACTACTCGAAACACTCTCCAGCGAAGAAGAAAACTCGCTAATTCTTTTCCTATTACTCTTATTACCTTCACTGTAGCTTTCAAAAGAAAGTAAAAAATCTTCGCGGGGGGGAGGGGGGTCCATACCCCGCAGTATTACGTCCTTTCTCAAAAAAGTATCACGTGATTTTTAAAGACTACATGATTTGTGTAAAAACTTAGCACCGGGGGGTCTGGAGTACTCCCCAACAAACGAAAACTCGATTACCCTCTTCTGATGACTACCCGAAACACTCGCCAGCGAAGGGTTAGATTCGAAAAAAGGTAATCGATTAAACGATTTGGGTGAAAAATTAGCACCGCCGGAGGTCTGGGGGTATGCAATACCCCATACACCCCCCCCCCCCAAGGGAAAAAGAAAGTGCGATCGCTGTTTTCTGGACTACCAGAAACAGTCGCCAACGAAGGAAAAGAGCAGAAGACTCGAAAGAAGGTAATCGAATAAACGATTTGGACGAGAACTTAGTACCGCCGGGAGGGGGGGGGGTACACTAACCCCCCCAATAACCGAAAATTCTATTACTTTCTTCTGAAGACTGTCCTGGTGGTATTTTAATATAGAATAATAGGAAAAGAATTATCGAGCCCTCCTTCCATACTCCCCATACCCTCGGTACTACGTCATCCCTCAAAAAAGTATCACGTGTGGGTTTTAAAGACTACACGCGATTTGGGTGAGAACACCGCCGGGGGGACTGTACCCCCCTGCTGAAGAAAACTCGATTATCTTATGAAGACTGTCTGAAACATTGGGCAACGAAGGAGAAGACTCGATTATTCTTTTCCTATTATTCTTAGCACTCTCCCTATAGTTTTCAGAAAAAAGGTAATCGAATCTTCGTATGCTGGGGGGTATTCCGTACCCCCCAGGACCACCGGTGCTACGTCTTTCCTCAAAAAAGTTTCACGTGAGTTTTAAGGAATAAACGATTTGTATGTGAACTTAGCACCGGGGGGTGTGGGGAGTATAGAATACCTCCCGCCTTTCTTCTGAAGACTCTATATCACGTGGGTTTTAAAGACTACACGATTTGTGTAAAAACTTAGCACCGGGGGGTCTGGGGGTATACAGTACTTCCCATAAACGAAAACTAGATTACCTTCTTCTGATGACTACCAAAAAAACACTCGCCAGCGAAGGGTTAGACTCGGAAAAAGGTAATCGATTAAACGATTTGGGTGAAAAATTAGCACCGCCGGAGGTCTGGGGGTAAGCAATACCCCATAGACCCCCCCCCCCAGGCTAAAACAAAGTGCGATCGCTGCTTTCTGGACTACCAGAAACAGTCGTCAGCGAAGGAAAAGAGCAGAAGACTCGAAAAAAGGTAATCGAATAAACGATTTGGACGAGAACTTAGTACTGCCGGGAGGGGGAGTACACTAACCCCCCCAATAACCGAAAATTCTATTACTTTCTTCTTAAGACTGTCCGAAACACTCGCCAGCGAAGGAGAAGACTCCATTATTCTTTTCCTATTGCTCTTAGGCACTCTCACTGTAGTTTTCAGAAAAAAAAGGTAAGTAGTCGAATCTTTGTATGCTGGGGAGTATTCACACCCCCTGGTGCTAACTTCTCGCCCATTTTAGTCCTTAAAACTCTCCCGCTAGTTTATTGGGGGCAAAGGTAATACCCCCTCAGCATACCAAGATTTGGTTACCTTTTTTCTGAAGACTAAGTACTGCTAAAAGGAAAATAACGTTGTTGATGAATTGCTCCATTCTTCCTGTGGTGAGAAAGTAGATTTGTTGGTCGTTCTTATGCCTTTGGTTACAGATTCGTTTGAGTTGTCGGAATGTAGCAGATAAACCCTGATTCTTAATTTTGTTGATTAGTAGTTGCTCCATTACTTTAGGAAAAGAATGCTCGAGGCTGCCGAGTGTTTCGTGGAGTCTGCAGAAGAAGGTATTCCATACCCCCAAGACTCTTCAGGGCTACGTTCTAATGGCCATTCCTCACGAAGAGCCCCAATTTAGTATTACGTTTTGACCCAAAAACTATTACAAGGGTTTTAAGGACTTAACACCGGGGGGATGGAGCACCTCCCCAGTATACTTCGATTAACTTTTTTTTTTAAACTACGTATGTAGGAGGAGGGGGGGGGGGTAATTCCGTAACCCCTCAGAGTTACATTCTCGTCTCAAAACAGCTGTTATAGCCACCAGCTCTCTCCCGATCATTCTTCTCAGACGAAGATTCGATTATCTTTTTTCTGACAGGAATGGGAAAGGAGTTATCGAGTCCAGCTCCTTTGCTGGTGAGTTTTTCTGGTAGTAACCCAATTTTCGTATTCGAGGGGGGGGGGGAGAATTGGGATTATTGAATTTATCCAGAGCAAATCGCCTAACGGATTCTGGAGCGGCATAAACGACTAGAATGCGCTAATTTTCAAAAAAAAACTTGGCAAAACCGTGGCGTTAGTACGGTTCTTCCGTAATCCAAGATCCGGCCCCCCTCGACAGATTCGATTTCCATCAAAAACAACTTTATCGAAACTTAAAAATAAAACAGGTCAATTGCATGTTTACGAGAAGTACGATGCTGTTTTTCGAACACTAAATGCATTTTTCGGTCCGTACGTTTGCTTGGAGGGCAAAAGAAAAAACGGAACCGTACCTTATTTTTCGAGCGATTCTAGCGTTCATCTCAAAACGTGATCAACCCAGATATGTGCTATTAGTAATTGGACTTTATTCCTTCCAGTATCGTATAAAAAGCTACGTCTCGTCTGGAATTATCAGTATAGCGCTTTACGTTTGCTTTGAAAGGTTCGCAAGTGAAGTGGGATAAAATGGTGAAGATTGTGCAGGTTTGTGCGCGTTTGGTATGCGGAAGTGGCGGTCCATACTTAACATTTGTATCTCTTGCAGAACGTGAACGTTATCGTCGCCGTTTCGATATTGGCGATCCTTAGCATCGTACAGCAAATTGCGGCAAGGCCAAAGGACAGTCCGTTTCAAAATTCGCTAGACACAATCAACGGGTGCCACATCGACGTAAGTGACATGCCGACACTTAAGTTCTCACTTACAGGGTCTGTTTGCAGAGCAAAGTGCAGGACACCTGCCAGAGATGCGCGAAGGTAACGAAATCGAACGTCGTCTACCCGCTCTGCTGTGGCAATGAGGACGACGTCTTCGTGTGGTGCCAACGATACCTGGAGTATGGCATCCACTAGTACCTTATACTCTTTATTTATTTATTTGATGCAAAGAGCAACTGAATCAATGCAATTTAACACCCTATCCGTTTGCCCTCAGTTGCCGACGGTTGAGTGCGCTCTTTTTTATATAAAACTATTTATTTAATGGCTGTGACAATTTTATAAACTTATTAAAAAAATGCTAAATCTCGCCAGTGTATTCCTTTCGCAATCTCTCAAAGTACACCAGATCCTCGTTTTTGATTGACGGCTGCAAACCGACAAGTGCAGCTTGAAAATCGGACAGTTCCACCATCACATCATCGCTAGATAATCCCAGCAAGGCGTCTGCAAAAGTACAACTATTGCACTTGAGTCTGTTGTAGTGTAGTGTTACGCCATAAATAAAACACCTTCTTATTTTATTTATGGTGTTACGCAAACGCGAAGTAATAATGAGCGAGAACGCAAATAAGTTAAAGAAGAGATAAGGGTTCCACATACTAAAAATGAATATTGTTGATTGTACCTAACAATGATATGTCTTCATTTGTACGTTATGTGGAAAGACATTTACTAAACAGTGCAATTTAAGTAGACACACTAAAAATATTCACTTCTGAAGGTGGCAGAGGTTATGTTTATTATTTACCCCTACGAGTAGATTTTGACCCCTTACCCTTAAAAACAGTTCAACGCAAATTCAAATTCTGGCGCGCTTGCGATTGCGCAGTGCCAAAGTCACTGAGGGAGTCACGGTGCGACAGAGACGCATGTCAACTATAGCTTGTCGCCGTGAAATCAAAGCCACGCCCACCAACTCTTACTTCCGTCGCGCAGGCGCAAGTACTAACCCTCAGTGTTGGTTTCAATCAGTCTTCGAACGCACGACGACCACGCCAGCGAGCACAGGCCGTAGAAATCGGCGCCGGTCACGTTCGCCGGACACATTCGCACGATCTTCTCCAGGTCGACATCCTCGGCCAATTTAAATCTGAAACCAGAAGGTAGAAGAACATCGGGACAGTACGAGGAGGATACTTTCGCGTCAGCGCCTTCAGTACGCCAATTTTGGAGACGGGATCCGTGCAGGGACCGACGTAGAGCAGCTTATCGAAGCGACCGGGTCGGAGAAGGGCAGGGTCAATGAGATCGGGTCGATTCGTTGCACCTTCACATAATGTTATTTATAAATTGTTATCGCCAATCCGGTTTAACACCAGATACACTATACATTTTGAAATTACAAATTTCAAAGTTCACCAGGAAGTTTGAGACATCTGACCTTGAATTCACCAACTTTAGACATGCGGAATGAATTTTCAAACGTCAAATGTCAAAAATTCACCCATTCTCTTGAGGATATTGAACAAAAATCGAAATTGCGGCCTGATACTTGACACCTGACCTTGAATTCACCCACTCTACACTTAGGGAATGAATTCTCAAGCGTCAAATTTCAAAATTCACGCGAAAGTTTGAGAATATTTAACAATAAACTCAAAATTGAGGCCTGACACTTGAAATACGCTCAAAATTTAAGTGAATTCCAAATAAAAATTCGCATTTAATTTTCAAGCTTGAATTCACCCACTTTAGACTTACGGAAGGAATTTTCAAGCGTGAAATTTCAAAATTCACCCGGAAGTTTCAGAATACTAAACAAACGATTCAAAATTGTGGCCTGACACTTGCCACCTGACCTTGAATTCACCCACTTTAGACTTATAGAAAGAATTTTCAAGCGTCAAATTTCAAAATTTACCTATAATCTTGAAGATATTGAACAAAACATTCAAAATTGTGGCTTGACACTTGACACCTGACCTTGAATTCGCCCACTTTAGACTTATAGACGGAATTCTCAAGTGTCAAATTTCAAAATTTACCTATAATCTTGAAGATATTGAACAAAACATTCAAAATTGTGGCTTGACACTTGACAGCTGACCTTGAATTCACCCACTTTGGACTTATAGAAGGAATTTTCAAGTGTCAAATTTCAAAATTTACCTATAATCTTGAAGATATTGAACAAAAAACTCAAAATTGTGGCTTGACACTTGCCACCTGCCCTTGAATTCACCCACTCTACACTTACGGAATGAATTTTCAAGCGTCAAATTTCAAAATTCACGCGAAAGTTTGAGAATATTGAACAATAAACTGAAAATTGAAGCCTGACACTTGAAATACGCTTAAAATTAAAGTGAATTGCAAATAAAACTTCGCATTTAATTTTCAAGCTTGAATTCGCCCACTTTAGACTTACGGAATGAATTTTCAAGCGTCAAATTTCAAAATTCACGCGAAAGTTTGAGAATATTGAGCAATAAATTCAAAATTGAAGCCTGACACTTGAAATACGCTCAAAATTAAAATGAATTCCAAATAAAACTTCGCATTTAATTTTCAAGCTTGAATTCACCCACTTTAGACTTACGGAAGGAATTTTACAAGCGTCAAATTTCAAAATTCACCCGGAAGTTTCAGAATACTAAACAAACGATTCAAAATTGTGGCCTGACACTTGACACCTGACCTTGAACTCACTTACTTTAGACTTATAGAAGGAATTTTCAAGTGTCAAATTTCAAAATTTACCTATAATCTTGAAGATATTGAACAAAAAACTCGAAACTGAGACCTGACATCTCCCACCTAACCTTGAATTCATCCACTTTAGAATTTACGGAAGGAATTTTCAAGCGTCAAATTTCAAAATTCACCTGGAAGTGTGACAATATTGAACAATGAACTCAAAATTCAGACCTGACACTAGACACCTGACCCACTTTAGAGTGAGACATTTGCAAATATTGAACAAAATTCTATCCTGACACTTAAAATATCCCTCAAAAGTAAAGTAATCAAACGTGGCATTAAATTAGTTCTAGTTTACCGATTATAAAGACAGTGGCCGATTGATTTAGTCCGTCCATCTCGGCGAGAAGCTGCGACACGACCCGATCCATCACGCCGCCGGAATCGCCCGATATCCCACGGTTGGGCGCCAACGAATCGAGCTCGTCAAAGAATATTATGCACGGGGCGGCGTCTCGCGCCCTTTCGAATACTGAAGAGATCGTTAGCGATCGTAATTGTTCGGAACGGTCCTACCTTGCCTGACGTTCTGCTCCGATTGTCCGACGTACATGTTGAGCAGTTCGGGACCCTTGACGGAGAGGAAGCACAAATTGCACTCGGTCGCGACGGCCTTGGCGATGAGGGTCTTTCCCGTGCCCGGCGGTCCGTACAGTAGTATCCCTAACGCATGCGCTATAATCTTGGATGGGCTGCAAGGAGGCGAACTTACCCGAGCGTCTCAGGCCGGTCGCTCGCAACAGCTCGGGATGCTGCAGCGGTAAATTAACGGTTCGGATGATCTCGTGCTTGACGTCACCCAAACCGCCAACGTCCGACCATTGAACCTTCGGTATCTTTGGGGCTCCCAAACTTTGACTATACATCGCCTGCATTCTATCTAAAGCCGAATCGAAATCGCCCTGCTCGAGTTTAGAGACCGAGCGCGTCTTCGCGTAGAAAACGAGCGCGCGGAGATCGCCCAGCACGAAGCCGTGAGTCTTCTCGGCCACCTCGTCGAGGCTCGCGTTGTTTTCGATACTTCGCGCGTCCACGATCCAGCGCAAGATTTCGGCCCTTTGCGCCGTATTCGGGGTGGCAATCTCGAAGATCTCCAAGAAGTGTCGGGTCAGCGTGGCTGGTATTTCTTTACTGTCACTCGTGCAGACCAGAATGACCGGAAAATTATTGTGAATGAACAGCTCCTCGAGCTGCGCGGCGAAGAAACTCAAAATCCTATCGTCGTAAAGTCCTTCGTTATTTTTCCCGAAATTCTGGAAAGACCCGCGTGAGTGTCGAAGGGGGTTACAGGGAGAGCGAGTACCTCGAAGTTTTTAATGTGCACCAAGCAAGGCGAGCATAGTTTCGCCTTGAAAAATAAGTGTCTCAATTTCGACTCGGTTTGGGCGTAGACGGCGGCGTTGATCTCCCCGCTCGTGGTGGCAAAGAGGTGGAGGCCTAGAGATGACGCAACCGCCGAGGTTATCGTAGACTTCCCCGAGCCCTTAGCTCCGAGCACGAGGAATGCCGGCCGAAGCTTGATCGCATCTGCAAAGGTTGAAGTCCACATAATCACCTCAGCAAAACTTACATGTAAACAACATGATTAATGTTTATAATTATAAATTAACGACGCACTGAAGAAGTGCAAAAATACCGAATTATCAGTTAATTAATTGAATGATAGAAGGCTTACACAATCGGGTTCGTTATCCAAAATTCGGGGAATGGCAATCGATTCGAATTTTGGACAAGTGATAAGTGGTGTTTTGTGCACTGGCCGTTACAAAAAAAACAATAATGGTCCCGGTGTAACTCCCTGTGGCGCCTTCTCACAATGAATTAGTAGACGGGCCCGTATTACGTCCCCAGTCATATTCGCCTGTTAATAATTAGCCCCAGGGATATTCTACTAAAAATCCCGCTCGTGTCCAAAATATGACCTCCTTCTTCTATCCTTGGATATGCGTTCCAAATATACGCGCCATCACAAGATTCGTTCCGGAATATTTGCCTCTGGAATATTTCATCCGAGAAAGCCGGCATAGAAAATACTGGTCTTGTCAGTTAACATTACCATCCAATAAAGTGAAAAGAGAAATTCATGATCCCCTTTCATGTTCACTGGGGGGTATTCCCCCAGACCCCCGGTTGTATATTTTTAACCAGACAGTACTGCTCTATACAACCGGGGAGTCTGGAGGGTATGGAAAACCTCCCAGTGAACATTACTGTCCAGTAAAGTGAAAAGAGAAATTGATGAAACTCCTTCATGTTCACTGGGGGGTATTCCATACCCCCCGGTTGTATATTTCTAACCAAAGCTCAATACTGTCTGGTTAAAAATATATAACCGGGGGGTCTAGAAGGGTATGGAAAACCTCCCAGTGAACATTACTGTCCAGTAAAGTGAAAAGAGAAATTGATGATCCCCTTTCATGTTCACAGGGGGGTATGGAATACCCCCCAGTGAACATTACTGTCCAGTAAAGTGAAAAGAGAAATTGATGATCCCCTTTCATGTTCACAGGGAGGGTATGGAATACCCCCCAGACCCCGGTTGTATATTTTTAACCAAAGAGCAGTACTGTCTGGTTAAAAATATATAACCGGGGGGTCTAGGGGTATGGAACCCCCCCAGTGAACATTACTGTCCAGTAAAGTGAAAAGAGAAATTGAAACTCTTTCATGTTCACTGGGGGGTATTCCATACCCCCCAGACCCCCCGGTTGTATATTTCTAACCAAAGAGCAATACTGTCTGGTTAAAAATATACAACCGGGGGGTCTAGGGGGTGTGGAAAACCCCCCAGTGAACATTACTGTCCAGTAAAGTGAAAAGAGAAATTGATGAAACTCTTTCATGTTCACTGGGGGGTATATTCCATACCCCCCCGACCGTGGGTTGTATATTTCTAACCAAAGAGCAGTACTGTCTGGTTAAAAATATACAACCGGGGGGTCTAGGGGGGATGGAAAACCCCCCAGTGAACATTACTGTCCAGTAAAGTGAAAAGAGAAATTGATGAAACTCTTTCATGTTCACTGGGGGGTATATTCCATACCCCCCCGACCGTGGGTTGTATATTTCTAACCAAAGAGCAGTACTGTCTGGTTAAAAATATACAACCGGGGGGTCTAGGGGGGATGGAAAACCCCCCAGTGAACATTACTGTCCAGTAAAGTGAAAAGAGAAATTGATGAAACTCTTTCATGTTCACTGGGGGGTATATTCCATACCCCCCCGACCGTGGGTTGTATATTTCTAACCAAAGAGCAGTACTGTCTGGTTAAAAATATACAACCGGGGGGTCTAGGGGGTATGGAAAACCCCCCAGTGAACATTACTGTCCAGTAAAGTGAAAAGAGAAATTGATGATCCTCTTTCAAGTTCACTGGGGGGGGTATTCCATATCCCCCAGACCCCTCCGTTGTATACAAGAACAATAATGTCTGGTTAAAAATGGATGCAATACCATTTTACTCATATAGGTACTTACTGCTCTTTAAAAACGGCCTAACTGCCTTCACCACCCGATCCGAGTAGACCCTCAGACCGTACGGACAGCAATCAATGGACCACCTCTCGCAGTCGGCCGGGTCAAATGTAACCGTCCGACTTATAACCGCCGGCAAGAAACTCTGCACGTTAGCCGACTGTTTTATGCTCGTCTCCCCCAACACGACCACCCCGAACTCTCGCCCGACTTCTCCCACCAGCAGACGATTGCAGCGAAAGTGCACGAATCGCAACCCGTGCAGTTTTCCGTTCGTGTAGCGGAACTCGGGGGCGTACCTCTCGAGCTCGACGGAGATGACGTCTCCGACGCACGCGATTTTGAGACTCCTGAAGTAGTTCGTCACGAGACTGTCGACCAGGGCGCTGCCGAGGTCGTGGCACGTGCTGATTGCGGACAGGTCGACTTCGTCGGCCTTCGGTAGCCGAGACAGAGTCGTGTAGGCGAGGGTGGTCGAGTTAACTCGCCGGTTGTGGTGGAGGGTGTCTGAAATGTACGCGCGATCTTCGGGGATGCCGCTGGCGCCGACTAAATGGGCCGGTTTCGTGTTTATTACAACCACGTCTTCTCCAATCGCAAGACTTTGGAGGTAGGTCTTTGACAGAACGAGAGTGTTGTTAATGTCGTCATTGAAAGTGGCGCCGTCTCTGATTATCAACCTTTCGATCGCCTCATAAGGCAACGCGACTAGTTCGAAGGCCTTCCGCCGTCTCCTGATGCAATTATAACGGAAAAGCATGTACAGAGGGAAGTAGTGAGGGGGGTAAGTGGGGAATCTTAAACGGCAGACATAGCAAAGCACAGAGGCCCCTTTCTTCAGGTCCGATGGTGCATCCATGTAAATACAAATTGAGGTTATGTCACTCACGCACAAGAAGTAAATCACTTTACTCGCCTCAGTTCTGCAATCAGGACATTAAAATAATCATGGAAATTAAAGTAAAGGGGCAAATTACCCATAAAATTGGCCCCCATAAAAGTAGGGTTAAAGGTCCATTATTTGTGTAATGTATGTTGCATAACCGTCAGGATAGCGATAGATGTATAGGATGCGTCAAACGACCTGCCAATGGATCTCTGAAGAATTACTCCAAAATTGAGTTAAGGATATAACGACGGAGGTAAGTAGGTAAAGAAAATCACACTGAAAAGGAACCGACGTCGCCACCATCTTGGGGCGCCGTCTTCCTCTCCTTTCGAATTGGATGGCGTAACGTGCTGGTGGACGACTTATTCGGCGCCATCTTGAACCTATCGAATAATAGTTGTGGTTCAGTGGTAGATTTTTGGGCTATAAATCCGGACCCAATCCTAATCCAGAAGAGGATTCCTAGAGCTAACCCCGGCGAGGCGGACAAACGGGTAGACGAAAAGAAAAAAGGCAGAGATCAGATGACTCTAAAAGGCGCTACACTAGTCCCACGGGTTGGAGACACTCTGGTGAGATCCTAAGAATATAGTGCGGGAACAACCTTCCCTTTTGAGTGTCTGACGGAGGCTGCTAACAACCTCCCATAATTGCGGGAAGCCTTCCTAGGGTCCCTAAGGCTGCCTTTGATACACTAATGCTGAGAGCTCCCTTAATCGTTCTACAGTCTTACAGAGCACTTATTAGCGTTTAAGGCGTTCAAAGGCCAAGTAAAAGTGACAATAGGCTTCCCTAACCTTTCCAAAGCCTGCAAGGGGAGTTTTTCCGTAACTTTTAAATACTGCAGTAACTGACACCCGAAGAGAAATATTGGCCTAAATTACCTGGATCATTATAAAAGAACTTGTACAAATGGATCGATTTCGGTGGGAAAACGTTCAAAGACTGTGTCTCGATTTTAGGCGTACCGGATTGCATACCGTTTGGGGGTTTGAGATCTTTGCACCAAGAGCTGCTGTTTTCTTAAGGGAGGAGATTTCATGGCGATCATTTCATAGCATTTCCACTTTCCACAATACGATAAAAACTTGCAATTGTCTCCGTGCGGTCGTCTCATTACGATTCCGGATGACAAAGAGACATGGAATTCCCCCTTACGATGCGTGTGCATTACGGGGTAGTAACCTTTCGGGCGAAAGCGCAAACGCAGCTCATCTGGCATGTTTTGAATGGAATACACACACACCCTTCCTTTAACCCCGTGCTTGGCACTCCCGGCATTAGAAAACACGCGTTAAGGTCATAATGATCCTTTGTTTCAATCCAAATTTCGCCTTTCCGAGTAGTTGTTAGTGTTTTAGTTAATTTTTTCCCTGCGATTAGAAATAATAAGGTAAGTACAACAGTTTTTTTTGGTTGTAGAAAATGATCTAATTGAAGCAGACGTCGCGACGCCGTTAGATCACAATAAAACGGCGCCGTTCGGTCGCTTTTGCCAAAAAGGATCGGTCTCGGCGCGCTTGAATTCAATTTTAAATTCAGAGGTTGGTAATAAATCTGAAATTACCTCATAAGTGATTGATGTAATTGCACCAAAGTTGCCAACTGTAGGTACCGCGACCGTTTTCAAAATTTCGGTTTTCGTTTCGCCATTGCCATTGCGTCTTTGTATAAGCAGGTCGCGTGAATTTTACATTTCGGTTTCGCACATGAGACGACCTGTTGAAAGAATCGCTCGTCACGCTTCTCAATCGTGCATTTCTCACACAGGGCGAACATAATTTGAATGGCGCACTGAACATTTCACCATGAAAAGTGGAACGAGATACCTCCCTCAAGAGGATGCCTCAATGCTCGAATTTCTATAAAAACTGTACTAATATTCTCCCTAATCTCCCTGAATTTTTTCGAACCTGGGCCTCCCACAATTTGCATTGATATCTTTCTCTTCCCGAACATTCCAAAATACCTCTGATTCTTGGCGAATGTTTCCCTGAAGCTCCCAGAACCCTCTTCACAAACATTCCTAAGGTTTTCTTAGAGTTCTTTAACTTTCACCAGTCTTACGCAATTTTTTCGAGCCCTCATCCTGAATAATTTCCTTCACTTCCATGACCCTCCCTTAAATTTCCAGAACCTTCTACTATTCCCGATAATGCTCCCTAACCTTTCCATGCCGTAGCTTCCAGAATTTCCATCGGTTTCTTAAATATTTCTGAATCGCCTTCTCGATCGCCTTCCATCTTCCTAATTTTTCTCATCCCGAATCATTTTCGAACCTTCACGAATGTTTCCAATCTTCCACAGTCTTCGTGAGTATTCCTGAATTTTAGGGAATGTCCCTTAGTTTTCCTTGAATTTTCATAAAGCTTTCCGAATCCTTCCATAATTTGTCAAATGACCTTGAATATTATGAATCTCAGTAGATTTCCTCATCTCTTTCTCGTCCTCACCTCAAAGATTTCTGAATCCTTCGCGAACCGTCCCGAATTTCTCCAATTTCCCACAGTTTTCGTGAATCTTCCTGCATCTTCCATGGCTCTCCCTTAATTCTGCTTCCAAGAGTATTTCTGAATCGTCTTTTTCAATCATCGATAATTTTCCTGAACCTTTTAGCATCTTCCTGAATATTTTCGAATTTTTCTGATTCACTTTCGATGACACTCTTTTCTCGGAGCCTTATAAATGTCGAGTTCTTGAATTTATCCGAAGTAGCCTAAACCTTCTTAAATCTTCCCGAGCCTACCACACTTACCATTAGTTTTCTTGATTGATTCCCGAATACGTCTGAATCTTCCCGAATTTCTATAGTCCCATGGTCTTCCCTACTATCCCCGAATTTTCCTAAATAAATTGTTGAGGGCCCAAAACAAGAGAGGGATCATAAAATAAAATAAATAAAATAAAAATAAATCTTCCCTTCCTCGGACATCTTCGGATATTTCCCGATCTTCACGAACCTTTCGAATTTCTCCCGAATTTCCCCTATCACCCACAGTCTTCCGGAATATCTCTAAATTTTCCGAAATCTTAAATCTTCCTTCTCCGTCTTATCACATATTTTCCTTCTGCTATTTTTCCGAATCTTCTCGAATCTTTCCGGATCTTCCTCAATCTTCTCGAACCTGTCTGAACCTTCCTTAACTCCCAAGAATTCCTCTTAAACTACCCGAAGCTTTACAAGTCCCGAAGAGTCCTCTTTTTCTGGACTTCATTTCCCTCTAATCTTTCTGAAAATGCTCTAATACTCCCGAATGTTTCCAATCTCCCACGTCTTTCTGAATCTTCCTAAAACCCCCCTGAATCTTTCCAATTCTTTCACCACCCTCTTACTCTCACACAGGCTTCGTTATCCTTCCAGAATTTCTCTAAATCTCCCTTAATCTGTTTAAAATTTACTATATTCCCAAATATTTCTGAATGTTCTCGAACCTTCCCGAACTTCTCCAGTGTTCCACTCCCTTCTTAAATGCTTGAATCTATATGTACTTTTCTTATCCCGGACATTCCCGGATACTTCTAAGTGTTGCGAACCGTTCCGAACCCTCCAGAACTTCGACAACCTCTCACAATCAATACGAATATTCCTGAATTTTCCGCAATTTCCCTAAATTTTTTTATTTCAGATATTCTCAAATATATTTGAACTTTCCCAAGCTTTTCCGAAGTTTTCATAGGTGTTCCTGAATTATTCAGAGTCTCCCTTAGTTTTTCCAAATATCCCTTTTCCCAAACATTCCCAAATACATTTGGGTTTTGGCAAACCCTCCCAGATTTTTGCAATCTCCCACAGTCTTCTTGAATGATTAAAAGGTTTTTTTCCTTCGGCCGTGGGTGGTGTTGAAGTGAAGGTTTGTAGGATGAGTAGGCTAAAAAGTCTGACTTTTGAGCCTACTCACCCTACAAACCACCTTCACTTCGTCTTCTTGAATATTTTTCAATTCATTCATCCGAATTCTTCTGAATATTTCTGAATCTCCCCTAATCTCCTTAGTTTATCTCATCTCAAACATTTCTGAATATTTTTTAATCTTCTCGAACCTTCCCGAATCTTCCACAACTTTCCTGAACCTTCCTTTCCGAATATTCCTGAGCTTTTTAAAGTTTTCATCTCCCACAGTCTTTCAGAATCTTCCTAAACCACTCTAAAACTCTTCCAAATGCTCCATAATTCTCACACACAAGCTTCGTTAGTGTTTCTGAATTTCCCTGAATCTCCCTTAACGTTCATAAAATTTATTCTTTGCGAAAATTGCCGAATATTTCTGAACGTCCTCGGACCTTCCCGAATTTTTTCATTCTCCCATTGTCCTCCTAAATATTCCTGAATCTTCTGAAATCTTACCGAATCTTCACGAATCTTAATCCTCTCGAATCCCCCCGTTGCCCCCTGAATCCTTCTGAATGTTCCTGAATCCCCCTTAATCCTCCCCAATCCCCCTGAATCCTCCTAAATCCTCTCGAACCCCCCCAGAATCCTCATGAATCTTCGTGAATCCGCTCGAATCCTCTGGAATTCCTTGCGAATCCTCTTGAATCCTTCTGAATCCTCTTGAATCCTTTTGAATCTTCTTGAATATTTTTGAATCTTCTTGAATCTTTATGAATCTTTATGAATCTTTATGAATCTTCTTGAAACTTTATGAATCTTCTTGAATCTTTATGAATCTTATTGAATCTCCCTTAGTTTTCTTGAACCTTCCTTTTCCCGAACATCAACCAATATTTTTGAATCGTCTTCGTGAACCTCCCCGACCTTTCATGAATCTCTCTCAACCTCCCTTAATCTCCACGACTGTCCCTTAACTTTGTTCACGTTCACAACCCTTCCTCGTCTCAACAGTTGATCAGTGTTTCTGTATGGTCTTTTTGAATCTTCCATAAGATTCCTGAGTCCTCATTTCCTTCCCTTTGCGAATATTCCGGAGCCTTTCCATGAATATTTCCGAATTTTTCTGGAACACTCTGAACCTCTCTCACACTCCGCGATCCTCTATATTAAACCGAACCTTCACAAATCTCCTCAATTCCGAAGTTGCCCGAACCTTCCTAAATCCTTATGAAGGTTTCTGAACCTCCCACAGTTTCCATTAGTTTTCTTAAATATTTCCGAATATTTATAGTGCCCGACTATCTCTGAATCCTACTAAATCTCGGTTAATCTTCGACTTTCTGGACATTCCCTTATATTTCTAAATCATCCTGAACCTTTTATAATCGTCCGGAATGTCCCCAATTCCCCCTTAGTCTTCCGAAATTATAACATTTTCCAATATTTCTGAATCGTTACGATATTTCTCGAATTTCTCCATTTTCCAACAATGTTCCTGAATATTTTTGAATCCCCTTGAAGCTTCTTGAATCTTCTTGATTCTCCTTGATTGTTCTTGAATCTTCTTGAATCTTCGTGAGTCGTCTTGAATCCTCATGAATCTTCTTTAATCTTCAGATATTTTCCTCATCCCATGATATTCTTGATATTACTGAATCTTCTCGAACCTTCCGGAATATTTCCTATCCCCTTCACCCTACAGCCTCTACAGTTTTCCGAAATTTTCCTCTAAAAATATTCCAGAATGCCTCCGTGTCTTGCCAAACTGTCCCGAATCTTCCCAGATTGCCACAATCCTCCACAGCGCTCCTGAATCTTCCTAAACTTTCTAGAATCAAACGTCTGAATCTCACGGTCTTGGTTAGTCTTCCTGACCTTTCCCAACTTTTCCCTTAAAGTTATCGAACCTTCACAAATCTGGAATTCTCCTGTCTTCCTAAATTTTTGACTGTACCATCCTATGCATTCTTGATTATTTCTGATCTTCCCACAATTTTCTTGAATCTTCCTTTTTCCGAACCGTTTCGAATACATTTGATTTTTCCGAAACGTCCTCAGCCCCCTAGAATTTCCACAATCTCCCACAGTCTTTGTAAATATTACCGAATCTCACTTAACCTCCCTATACCTTCCTCCCGAACGTTCTCGAATCTTTCCGAACCTTCCCGAATTGGCATCTCTTACAATCGTCCGGAATATACTTGCATTATTGGGTAGGTATATGCTGAACGTAAACGGACAGAGATGAATGCGTAATGAACATATTTTCTGGAGGGAATATCCTGTGTTTATTAAGAGAAGCTTCAACATTACGATAGCGGGTTATCCCAAAGGCATTTTTAGGGGAATATTTCACGGCTGCAGAAGCCAATATTACGGTGAAACGTTGGAAATATTCTGGATTGACGAATTCTGTTGCTCGAGCACTTCCGGAGGCCGGAAGTAATTTCTTGGGAGTGGGATGGGGGATCGAAATTATTATTTATCCGAAAAAACTCGAAGACATTTCGAATTTTCACCAATAATCCCGTCGAAAACTACAATATTTGCTTGTACAGCCGATGCTACAAGAATCGATGAGAAGCTGGAAAGTACCGTCTAGACAGAGCACACTTAATAATACGTATTATTCACTGTGTGCATCGACCGTTTATCGTCGGCGGACCCTAGTGTTTGATTCGAACTAAAAGGCGTCCCAATTCAGGGTAATCGGCGGCACCTGTAGGTGACCCAAGATTAATTATTAAATGTATCCCCACCCCACAATTTTATCGAGGGAACGGGGGCCGTAGTGATAGACAAATAAAGCGATTTCATGTTTAGAAACGATTACAAGCAATCGCTCTTTTTACTGTCGCACAATCAAGCCGTACAGATTAATACCGTCGATGTATGCGGTGCCTAATCGATCCTTTCGTGCGAGTATTATTAATGATCTCTGGTTCTATAAAAAGCATAATAATTAATAGTTGATGTCGTTTGTTTCAGGGTGCATCGATAGACTGAGTGGATGTTAGAAATCGGTCGTGAAAGTGCGTAAATGGGGTGCAACACGAGCAAGGATACCGCGTTACAGCCTCCCGAGGAAGCGAAGGACAAGAACGAGAACGACTCGCCGAAAGTTGATGGAAATAATGTAGACGAAATAACAGGTAGGTAACGTCTATTTTTAAACCGGTGCCAGGCGACGCAAGGGCGCAATGCTAATTGCAATTAGTTTATGCAGAATTTCGATCGGGCGCGTGCGTTTAATGAATGTACGATTGACATTTCAAGAGATACGAGTATTAATGATGCCCCTGCTGTCACGGCATGTGCGTGTGTGCGGCCTTTCACACTAATTGCGCCGAGCGCTCCCTCGGGAAGAGATCCGCACGTCAGTTTCGTAATTCCACCGGCAGATGGCGCTGCAAACCTTACTTCATCGCGCACCAGAGTATTGATCTCTGCACACCCCGAAAATTGAGTGCATCAGGTGGTGCAAATCAAAGCTGATGGTATTTAAAAGGTTACATGCAGCGGGGGGGGGGGGGGGGCTACCCGCGCCGGCTATGTCGTGTACATACAGATTAAGCTACTAACAGTTTCTAAAGTCGCAAATCACTTCGGAAATTTACGTTATCCGCTATTTGTGTCTGTGAAACTATTCATCCATTAGCTAACTTTAATCTACCAGGAGAATATTTATTCTCAGCAAAAAAATATTCCCTGTGACAAGGCGATTACGTTCCTAGTTCGCGCCAGAGATATTTTTTCTGGCTACCCGGAGAACATAATCACTGAGGAAGGTTCTACTAAGCCCAAGAGACGCTCTCCAACACTTTATTTTCATTATTTCTTTTGTATCAGGAGATCATACTGTCGGAGAACATTTTTCTGCTCTTAATTCGCCAATGAATAACGTTGTGAATTTTTTATGACGATCAGTAAAACACAACTAACGAGGAAGGTTCCATCTAAGCTCGAGGAAAGGGCTCCAATATTCCAACTGACAAACTATCTAATAAAACAGCGCAAACCTTCCATTGGTAGCCCAAAAAGGGCACAAATAGACCAACCCTTTCTCTAATACTCTGCTGTGACTTGCGCCGATAACGCCTTGGGCTCACTCGACCTTTAAATTTCAAATAGAGAGCTTGTCATTAAGATTTGAAGCAAAAGTGATAGTTGTAGAACCAGTGACCTAGGCAGTAGAGAGATCTGACGCGGTAATTCACTGGGTTTGGAACTATTACTTTACGTGGATGTTCTATAACACGCCTATTTTAATGAAAGCCGCCTCGGCTCAAATTGTCTTACCCCACTAGATCCTTACTCTGCCTAGGTTTGTGCCGAACTCGCCTTCGGCTCGCTCGGCATTGATTTTAAATTAACACCTTTGCGCGCCTTGAGCTCGTTCGCCATTAAAGTGGACATGACATTAAATTTTGGAGCAGAAGTGATGATTGTAGATTGAAGAACCAGTGCCGAGCGAGCCGAAGGCGAATTCGGCACAAACCTAGGCAGTAAAGAGATCTGATGCAGTAATTCACTGATTTTAGAACTATCACTTTACGAGAAACTTTCATAAAAAGCCTATTTTAAATCAGGCGACTTCGGCCCAAAGTGTCTTACCCCATTAGACCTTTACTTTGCCTAGGTTTGTGCCGAACTCGCCTCCGGCTCCCTCGGCATTGATTTTAAATTAACACCTTTGCATGCCTTCAGCTCGTACGGCATTAATGTGGGCGTGATATTAAAATTCCAAGCAAAAGTGATGCTTGTAGATTGTAAAACCAGTGTCGAGCGAGCCGAAGGCGAGTTCGGCACAAACCTAGGCAGTAGAGGGATCTGACCGGGTCATTCATTGGGTTTAAAACTATCACTTTACGTGGAAGTTGCATAACAAGCCTATTTTAATGAAAGCGGCACAAATTGTCTTTCCCCATTAGAGCCTTACTATGCCTAGGTATGTGCCGAACTCGCCTTCGGCTCGCTCGGCAATGATTTTAGATTAACACCTTTTCGTGCCTTCAGCTCGTTCGCCATTCAAGTGGACATGATGTTGGAGCAGAAGTGATGGTTGTAGATTGTAGAACCAGTGACGAGCGAGCCGAAGGCGAGTTCGGCACAAACCTAGGCAGAAAGAGATCTGACGAAGTAAATCCACTGGTCACTTTGCATGGAAGTTTAATAACAGACCTATTTTTAATGAAGGCGACTTCAGCCCTAATTGTCTTACCCCATTAGACCCTTACTTTGCCTAGGTTTGTGCCGAACTCGCCTCCGCTCGCTCGGCACTGATTTTAAATTAACACCATTGCGTGCCTTCAGCTTGTTCCATAGGAAATGAACGTGATATTAAAATTTCACGTAAAAGTGATGTTGTAGATTGTAGAACTAGTGCCGAGCGAGCCGCGAAAGCCGAGTTCGGCACAAACCTAGGCATAAAGAGATCTGACGCAGTAATTCACTGATTTTAGAACTATCACTTTACGAGAACTTTCATAAAAAGCCTATTTTAATGAAGGCCACCTCGCACAGATGTCTTACCCCTTTAGATCCTTACTCTCCCTAGGTTTGTGCCGAACTCGCCTCGGTTCGCCGGCACTAATTTTAATTAGCACCTTTGCGTATCTTTAGCTCGTTCGCCATAAAGTAGACGTGTGATATTAAAGTTTCACAAGCAAAAGTGATGCTTGTAAATTGTAAACCAGTGTCGAGCGAGCCGAAGGCGAGTTCGGCACAAACCTAGGCAGTAGAGGGATCTGACCGGGTCATTCATTGGGTTTAAAACTATCACTTTACGTGGAAGTTGCATAACAAGCCTATTTTAATGAAAGCGGCACAAATTGTCTTTCCCCATTAGAGCCTTACTATGCCTAGGTATGTGCCGAACTCGCCTTCGGCTCGCTCGGCAATGATTTTAGATTAACACCTTTTCGTGCCTTCAGCTCGTTCGCCATTCAAGTGGACATGATGTTGGAACAGAAGTGATGGTTGTAGATTGTAGAACCAGTGACGAGCGAGCCGAAGGCGAGTTCGGCACTAACCTAGGCAGTAAAGAGATCTGACGCAGTAATTCACTGATTTTAGAACATCACTTTACGAGAAACTTTCATAAAAAGCCTATTTCGGCGCAAATTGTCTTACCCCCATTAGATCCTTACTCTACCTAGGTTTGTGCCGAACTAATTTTAAATTAACACCTTTGGGTGTCTTCAGCTCGTTCGCCATTAATGTGGACATGATATTAAATTTCCATGCAAAAGTGATAGTTGCTAAACCAGTGCCATTAAACATTTATGTGGTATTTCCCAAATTAGTGTCTCAAATAGACTCACCCTATTAGACAAAGTCGCGAATCCCTCAACCCGTGAAGTCGCCAGTCCCTCAAACCTTCAAGCCCCAATCGCTTAAGCCCTCAAGCGTTAATGCATTGGAAAGTTTGTTTTGAGCTTAAAGTACCTCCGTTGAATGTGGTTTTCCTGGGAGCCATCATGCTCTCCTGTTACAGAAGTCTAAAGAAAGGTCAAGTAATGGAACAGTTCTCATGGCCTTAGAAAGGTACCACTTGATCTGAACTAACCGTGGCCACCTGGGCCCTGTAACACAAACTATACCATTGTAACAAGCCTACAAGTTACAAGTAATCTTCCTGTAACTATCTACAAGTCCTAATGAATTCGGTATATGCAAATGAGTTATGTTATGAAAAAGCTACAAGTGTAAAATATGTTCTAACAATTGTAGGACTTGTACGGCTGTCGGCTTGTGTTACAGGCCCCTGGTGGTTGCTTGTGACGACGACGGTATCGCCAAAAATAAAATTTGTAGTTCAATATGTAGAATTAATCGAGAATTTTAAATTTCAAATGTTTAAATGAATCACATTGAAAATTAACGTGATTTGTAATTACGGTGGTAATACCAATGGAAACGACCGAGTTCAAAGCGTTATTTCCACAACCAACAACCAATCTCAAGTTAATTAAGACGGCCGGCGGCGTTTTAATGTCTTCGTGTTTAAAAAAAACTGGCAAAGTAGTCGTCATCGATCAGACCGGCTCATTCCAAACAACAAAGAAAACAAATGGGACTAGTGGTAACGCAAAAGAGAACGCGATTTTTATTAATAGCCATCCAATGAAAACTCTTAATCGCCGATGCTTTTGAGAATTAGGAATTCTCCTTGCATCTACCTACAATACAAAAGGCCTTAATCAGTTTACCGCTCTTCTGTATACGTTACGACAGAAACCGACCTACATCGGAACACCTCACCTCGCCTTCACCAACTTACGACACACGTCCCGCAGAGGTACACCTCCACTTCGCCAAAGTCAGCGAGACCGTCCGACCGGACGCATGTCGGTTACGTGCATATCAACAGGATACATCGTATATAACGCCTTGCAACGTCCACAATTTTGCCATAGCGTTAGTCTGTATCGCGCGCTAACGACGTCGGACAGGTGCGCCTTTGCTTCGCAAACAGAGGGTAAGTCCATTTCTTTTTCGTCCCAATGGCCTACGTAACGTTTACGCTATCGGCCCGTCAAAACTTTCGAAATTCTGCAATTCGCGCGATCGGAAAAAAAGGCTTAAAAAAATAAAACCTAATTAGATTAAAATTTACCGGGTCGTAAATCAATACGCATCATCCCGCTGTCGAGGAACGGCATCGGAATTCGTAACCGTACAGATTATTCTCGTCGGAATATGTGCCGTAGGGAGTTTTGATGTAAGAAGCTCGGGTCGCCGAGGAAACATTAGTTGAGATAAACGGACGCGATGATAAATTGAAACCGGCATTCGGGAAGAACGTTCGATCAAAGTCCCTTTTTTGTTGTTAAAATGCATGCGTTTACTCTTAACGTATTCCGAAAGGAGATTAATTAGTTAGCTGGATGTTGGTTTTACAATTACCTATAGAAATCGCCACACTGAAACGTGGCGCTTAGGGAAATGCACTTTTCATTTAAAATGTTAGTCGGTGATCATTGCCACTTCATCGGTAGATATAGGGGGAGCCCCTACCATTGCTGTAATACAGATTACATTAACGATCACTGTCATCTTACTAGTGAATACAAAGGAAACGTCTATCTTTATCGTTGTTTAACACTAAATAGATAGTCATACTTCCACCATGGCACAGATCAATGAATCA